CAAAATCAACAGGCAACTATAAACTAGAGACACACTACGGGTGGGGAGAAGGGAGCAGGACCAAAACAAGGATGGTGGGAATTTTACGGGGACTATAACCAAGATGAAAATGCATACATTGTACAAAAATGAAAAATGATGTAAAAAAATGTATAAAAAAGGGGGGCACCTGATAGACACAGGGGGGCTATCTGGGGACAAGACCTGAATGTTGCCAGAGAAGGAGTTGATCTTATATAATGTCCTTTGGGGGGATTTGTTCTTTTGTAGAATTTTGTCTACTGTGGAAACTATCGTTTCTAAGGCCTAACTGGGTTCTCCTGAAAGGGCTGGTGTTTATTTGTAATGGCAACAGTTCTTCATATCACCACCTCAAGCCTATGCCTATAGATTTTCCAAAGCAGGTTTAAGGACTGGTTAATCATTTCCACCCCTACCTCTTGTTTTTGGCCTTGTGAAGCCTCCATCCCAAATTTTCTACTCTAAGCTTCTATCAGTATCCACAACTAACTGAGACCTCTGTCCTGCACCCCAACAGCCGTGACTGTCATCAGGGATACCCAAGATGAATGGAGCAGACAGCGAACATCTATCCTTCTAGTGGATGAACTATGGGGTAACTACAAAGACTGTGGGTGTGACTATAACAGGGGGAGCCCAGGGCAGTCAGATGATTGATCCATCCACTCTTAAATTAAGGTGAACCAACAGGTAGTAGAAGTACATGTCCTTCTCCATGCACTCTTGCACTTGAAATAATTTTTTGAAATGACTGTAAAGGAGAAAATTCTTTCATCTGCCCATCATATGTCTGGGCTGGGACTCTGAAACAAAAGACGGGCTAACATGAGAAAAGCCTTCTGAAGAAATGAACAGCCAAGGAAGCAGCAAAGCTTACAGGCTGTATCCGAGGTCAAACATGAGAGAACTGTGGAAGAGTCACTAAGTACACGGGAGGTTAAAGGAATACAAGTTTCTCACAAGGTCTCTTTGTACAGATTCTCCTGGTTTGACTTCCTATTCTCATTGACAAGAATGTTCCTCTCCTGTTTGAGGAAGGATCTTTCTCACTTGGGAATTTCACCTCTTGTTTTCAAGAAAGAAGAGGACATTCACATGCTCTTCTTGCATCGAATGTTTTTCAAGTGTTTTAGGCTCAAAATAATAATTTTGGGTAACAACTTCTGCCCTCTTACATGACATTCAGATTCCCTCATCTAAGATTTCACATGAGTACAGGGGTCCACCACACGTGCACGCACACACACATGCACATATACCTTATCTCCGGGAATCTACAGGATTCTAGGCGGCACCAGGCATGCATCAGGAGCAGAGCAAGGAGAGGGAAGGTCTCACAAGGTGTCCCTGGGGTCATCCCAGAGTCAGCTGTGGGGCTGAAGTGGGGCTGGAGGAGGGCCAAGGAGTGGGGCCTGCAGGAAACAAGGAGGACACCAGGGAGATGGGTACTGACCCCCATGGAGGAAGGACCACTATTCCCAACAGAGAACATGTGTCTCTGCAGTAGCTGCACAGACAGAGGGTCCCTTGGGCAGGCTGCCTGTGCGGGGCCCCAATACCAACTTGCAGCAGGGAGAAGACTTTGCTATGTATGCTCCAAATGGATGGGAAGAGGTTGACAGTGACATCCAAGGGAAACTACAATTCCAAAATGAAAAGCCTGTGTCTACAGAAGAAGAAAAACCCACGCATTCCCTGATAAATTCCCAGGGCAACTGTCCACATTGAAATGAGTGGGAAGTTCAGTCATTTCCAGGGTTCACCCCACAGGCTGACTTGCACACAAGGGGTAACAAACAACACCAGAGCTGCACAGGTGTGATGGGGAGGGAGGCTAGTACAGGACTGAAGGGCTCATACAAGTGGCTCACACATGTTTGCAGGAAAAAGGCTGGTTGTCAAGAGGCAACGCTCTGACCATTGCCTCAGCTCAGCAGCTGAGCGGGCTGTGCGCCTCAAGTCTGCCCATCATCCCACCACTCCCACCTCCAGGCTCAAGGCCACTCCTCAACCCACCGGCCCACACTCTCCTGTGCTCCCTCATTGTGCAGCTCTTGGGGGAAAAGGTGTCTCTATTCTGTGTGCAGGGATGACTAATAGAAATGACCAAAGAGAAATCCCACTGGTGTTCCCAGAAGACCATCTGTGTGGGCTCAGGAACGCTTAGAAGAGTCTGCATAAAATCCACACTGTGTGCTAAAACACGGATGGTGATGGGCTTTCACCATTTCAGAAGAGAGAACTACAAAGGTGACGTTAGCAGTGAACTGGAAGAGTGAAACATGCATCACTGCCACAAATTAAACAGAAATAGTTGTTTTTCCTTGGAGAGCATTATGCTTAATTTTACGAAGACATAAAAGAAAGTCCTTCAGTCAATGGTTATCTATCATTTTGTGATCTGGTAGAAATTCTTACTCTTCCCACTACCCCCCTTTTTTTTTTTTGCTTTTTTAAAAATTTTATATATTTTTTACATCATTTTTCATTTTTGCACAATGTATGCATTTTCATCTGGGTTAGTCCCTATACAATTCCCACCCCCCCTTACTTTGACTGTAATCCCTCCTACCCCCCACCCCATAGTGTATCTCTGCTTTATAGTTGCTTGTTGATTTTAATTTTGATTTTATTATAACTAGTCTTTAAATCTCAAATACAAAAGTAGAGGGGCTCCTGGTCTTCTCCCAGATCAGCAGGATCTGTGACCAGCAGCAGGATGAGCTGAGGTTCTAGCTTCCCTGGTCCTGAAGAGAGGGGTTGCAGGTTGGTGTTGGGGCCCAGCACAGGCAGCCTGCCCAAGGGACCCTCTGTCTGTGCAGCTACTGCAGAGACACATGTTCTCTGTTGGGACTAGTGGTCCTTCCTCCCTGGGGGTCAGTACCCATCTCCCTGGTGTCCTCCCTGTTTCCTGCAGGCCCTACTTCTTGGCCCTCCTCCAGCCCAACTTCAGTCCCACAGCTGGCCCTGGGATGACCCCAGGGACACCTTGTGAGACCTTCCCTCTCCTTGCTCTGCTCCTGATGCATGCCTGGTGCCGCCCAGAATCCTGTAGATGCCCTGAGATAGGGGTGGTGCAGCAGGTTGCGTGCAGCACTGAGAAACTGAGAAACTGTCTGCATCCTCTGCAGTGTGGGTTCGATTTCCGGCTGGCCAGGGAGCAACCCACATGGCACAGCAGACCTCTCCTGTCTCTCCCGCTGCTCCCTTCAGCAGTGTATTTCCATCAATCCACTTGTTCTGCACCCTGCTCTGTCTCTGGTGAATCCTCTCACACCCCCGCCCCGCATCTCTGGCCCAGTTCTGGTATAAATAAAAATAAATCTTTTTTTAAAAATAAATAAAAGCTTGGGGCCAGAGAGCTCCTTCTGAAGCAGGACATACCCTCACCCCGGTCAACAGCTCTTCTGAGCTGTTGAGTCTTCTAGACACCTGTCCTCTCCATGGGCTCACCCTGAACTGGGATGCAGTTGGAAGTCTGGGACCTTGGTTGACTGGCCCCTCACTTGGAAGTCAGAGCCCACATCTGCAGAGGGCTCAGGGCCAACTACACCCTTGGAGTGGTCAGCATCTCTGGTGCCATCCTGACATTGCTTGCAAATCTCATGATGGACAGCAGGGGGAGGTATAGAGTAGGTGGCGTCCATGTCCACCCTGAACTCCAACAAACCCTCCGGTTCCTTACACAAGCCTGTTTTGTGGAGAGAGCCCTTCCTGGATCCTTAAGAACCTGTTCCGTCAGGGGACCATGTGGCACTACCCACTTCATCTCTTGCACCAATATGGGAGAGGCAGGGTGACCATAGGAGAGTCAGCAGGCAGAGGACAGAGGCCCCCAGAAGAGTGGGGAGAACACAGACAGGCTCTGAGTCACATGTCAGCCAATAGACACAAAAAGGGAGAGTGTCCCTGAAATGTGCCCCCAGGACTAGGGAACAAGAGCCCCAACCTTCCCCCAACCCTGTCCTTTTTTCCCAGGACATGAGGAAAACTACGTCTTCATAACAAGAATTGTAGCCTGGAAACAAGGAACAGGCTGATGACAGTGGAGTCCTTCAGAGACAAGGGGTCCCTCCCTAGTCATCACTCAGCTTTCTTATCGCAGAACCAACTCTCTGGAATAAGAAAGTCCCTTCTTCTGGGAGAAAATCCAACCTTCCCAGAACATGTGAGACACTGGGAAGACCCTGCACCCAGCTGAGTTTCTCTGTCACCAATGGAAATACTCCCTGAGTTTGGTGATGCGTGAGGTTTTGTGTGGTTTTAACAAACTGCAGGCCAGGATACAGCAGAGGCCTGTGATGGGGTGGGCAGGCCTCTTGGGGGCAGGGGTACCCATCAGTCTTGCTATTGAAAGTGGGCAGCACAGACCAGGATGTGCTCTCAGCATCACCCGAGAGCCTGTGAATGCAGACTGCCAGGTCCACCCCTCATTTGTTGAGTCAGAATCTGCATTTTTACAGAATCTACAGACCTTCCCTGAGTCCAGGACAGGGGGAGAGGCTCCCCAATCCCTAATTATGAGGTCTTACCTGGCTGGCTGGGCATCCAGCATCTACCAGGCCAGTATTTCTAAGGCGTCACCTGGGCAGTCATGATTTTTATAAAGTGCCATAGGTGATTCAGATGCACAGCAGAGGGGGCAACCCTGTACAAGATCCCTGATGTAGCCCAGAGGTTCCTGCTCTGAGGAAAGTCAGGTGAAAGAAGGCTTAGGTGGAAGCTACTATGGCTCTCCAATCTAGAGCTGTGGGAAAGCCCCAGACACAGAAATCCCAGGTTTACGCTTATGCAAAAGTGTGTGCCTTATATGTGTTTGTAGGTCAAACATTACAGTTGAAGATGGCAGAGGCTACAGTCATTTCTGGGGAACCAAAATGTAGACAGAAAGAAAATGGGAAGCTGGGGACAGGAGAGAGAGGAATGAGAGGAGGGGTAAAGGAGGGTAAAGACCCGCCTCCAGGCCACGTGACCTAACTAAGCCCTCCTGAGGAAGGAGGAGGCTCGGCACAGAGGAGGAAGCACCTCAGCGCTGACACTCAGGAGCAGCTGTGCTTGGGAGCCTTTCTGGAGCCCCAGGTCTTCTCTCAGAAGGTGCAGAGCAGGCAGCAGACGCCATGGAGGCGCCCTCAGTCCTTGGACATAGAAGCCGAGTCCCCTGGACGGGGCTCCTGCTGGCAGGTGAGTGTGAAGGATTCCTAGGAGAGGGTGAGAAGGAGAGTAGAGACTGCCTAGGGCCCCCTGGGAGGACAGGGCTCTGATAAAGGACAGAGGGCTTCTGTTTGGACCTGAGGGGAGAATATAGGGGAGCAGAGAGCATGGGTTCAGGACTCAGCAAGAGGAAATTCTCTTGGAATGAGGTGGTGAAGGTCAGAAGACTTCAATTGTTTTCTAAATTATTCATCACCAAGCAATAATTTTTAAAATCTGCTGCAAATAAAAGCAATTTAAATCAGGAGGTCAAGTCATAAAACAACACAAACAGCACTCTAAACATTGTCCTTGTTCATTACCTTTAGAAATGGACAAACACCAAGTCAAGGAGGCCTGGGGACACTCATTCATTCACCCACAGGGCCTGGGTGTCTGTCCCACCACTGGCGCAACAAGATCAGACAAGCCCCTGCCCTCATGGAGCTCAGGGCCCATGAGGAGGAAGACAGATAACAAAGATCTAGGTGCTGTCAGGTGCTGACAAGTGTGTTGAAAGGCACAGAGCAGGGAAAGGTCCTACAGTGAAGACAGAGGGTCTTCAGAGCAGGGTGAGGTCAGGGAGGCATCTCCTAAGGATGCCCCGAGGGTGAGCAGGTGGGGAAGGACACACAACTGGGGAGAGTATTCAAACAAAGGGAAGAACAAGGTCAGAGAGTCTGAAGTAATGGTGGTCATGCTGCTGACCCTGAACTTGTAAACACGTCACACACACACACACACACACAAACTAAGGGATTAAGAAACTGCTCAGTCTCTAAGCTTCATCTTCTCTTGACAACATAAGTCAAAATTTTTATCAATTTCTCTCATTTCGTTTCTAGTCTCACTCTCAACCTTCTGGATCCCGCCAGTCACTGCCCAGGTGACTGTTGAACCAGAGCCTGCTAATGTTGCTGAAGGGAAAGATGTTCTTCTGCGTGTCTACAATTTGTCAGAGGAACCTCTAAAATATGACTGGTATAAAGGAAAAGGTGTGGACAAAAGTCAAGCTATTATATCCTATAGATTAGACACTCAAAATACCATCCCCGGGCCTATGTACAGCAGTCGAGAGACTATATACCCCAGTGGATCCCTGCTCATCCGGAACGTTACCAAGAACGACACAGGAGACTACTATGTATTAGTTTTATACAATAATTCCTTAACCAGTGATGGAGAATCGGGACGGTTCCAAGTACTTGGTGAGTAAATTCCTCTTTGACTTCTCAGTTTCGGGTGGGGCACCTTCTGCTTCTCACACACAGGACTCACGGGCCTGGTTGTGCCTCATCCCCTCCAACTGTGTGTGAGGTTGGGGTTTGAGCATTTAGTTCAGGAAACAGAGTGGAGAAGGTTTATCAAGATTGAAGTCCTTAATCTAAATTCTGTCACCTCCCTGCAGGAGAGGGACCAGTGTGATGGAGCACCGCAGCAGAGGGAGGTCAGCCTCAGTTTAGACCCCTACCCCCACCCCCCACCCCCACCCCCCAGGTCTTTCCCGTGACCACAACCCTGGAAACACCCTGAAAGTCTTAGTTGAGGCCTGACCTGGGGAGCCTGGATCCTCAAGAGAAGCTCCATCCCAGGAAACCCCTGACCAGACCCTGTCCCAGGGCTCCTGACCCCAGTGACCCCGAGGAGGCCCTATCAGGGGTGGGATCTGTCCTCGTAGAAGGGGCTGCAGGATTTTCCTGAAAACCTGAGTCCTGAGGCCCCTGAGTGGGTCACCAGCCAGGGCCCAGCCCCAAGAGCCTCCTCTGGGCAGGGGAGACCCTGGTCCTTTGCCTGAGACTTGGCGTGGAGACTACAGGTCCCTGGTCATTAGCTGACAGCTCTGGGGACATAGGAGACCAGTGTTCCCAGGGAAGGATAGAGAAGAGAAGATTTTTCTGGAATCAATCCAGGGAGTCATTTATTTGGGCAGCTCCCCTATACAGGCCTCATCAGGTTATTGTGAAAGACTGAAGGTTCATTCACAGACATGGCAAGCCTGAGACTATTTGCCATTTACCCTATTTTATGGAGGAGGAACAAATTACAAGGAGAAAATGACTCTGGGTCACTCAGACCAGGACCCACATCAGAGTGACCCCAGGACCTGTCTGCAGTCACAGCCCCACCCTTTCCTCATGGTGGGGGGCATCTGTGGACCCTAAAACCAGCTGCTGGTTCAGATCCTTTTTTCCTGGGTCTCCCCAGCTCAGACGGAGAGATTCTGGTCTGGGGAGTGAGAGCAAATGGAAATATTTCCTGTTGACTCTAGAACTAAATGACCCGCATCCTCCATCAGTCGGTGCTGGGGGCCCAGGCCTCCCCCTCCTGGGGCCCACCCACACCTCCCTGCACTGGATGAGAAATCATTCATTGTTCCTTCCTGATGTGTTGGGGTCACACCCACTGGAACAAAGTGGGAAAGACATTCTTTGGTCAAATCTACAGCTGCAGCCACTCCCAACGTGGAACAAACTCTCAGTCTTTCTTTGATGAAGTACTGAATGAACGATTCATAATCTCATCTGACATTGGAGTGTGGATAGGTCCCCTGTCTCTCCAGGAACTGGGACCAAAACCCCATCCTCTGATCACCTGCCCCTAAAGCACCCAGGTTGCCCATGTCAGAATGACTCAGGGTTGCTCATCCTGGGAGGGTCTCAGACTGCCTGGCTCCTGCATCTGAGCTGTTGGACATTCAGTTTTTTTTTTTTCTTTAAAGATTTAACGATTTATGCATTCAAGAGCTGGGGTAAGAGGATTCACCAGACACAGAGTTGGGAACAGAATAGGCAGATTGACCGTAGTACACTGCTGAGGGGAGCAGCGGGTGAGTTAGGAGAGGTCTCCTGCGCCATGTGGGTCTCTCTCTGGCTGGCCAGGGATCGAATTCGTGCTGCAGAGGCTGCGGATTGCTTCATAGTGTGGTGTTTAACCCTTCGAGCCACCAGGGAGGCCTGGACATTCAGGTCTTTAAAGCCATGTGTAACACGCAAGATCACTGACATGAATTCTCTACTCTCTGCTCTTTTCAACTCCCTCATCTCCACCTTCATTCTAGGCAGCACTACCTCTGCTCTGCACTGCTTCCTCCATGCTGAAGCCTCCCCCAAATACACCCACTGATGGCTGACCGCCATGTTCCTTTTCCACTAACAATATAGCCAAGCTCACCTTCCTGTATAGTTGAAAATAGCACACAATCAGTAGAAGCAGTCCTTGGAGTCTCCATTACAAGCCACAAAATAGAACACACCATGTGGCAGGGATGTTAACCCCTTAATCCTTTCTACATGACTCAACCAGGGAGAGAGAGTAAGGGAGAAGGACAGGTCTGCAGTCCCCAGAACCTCACAGGCTCATTTCCCCTATTTGACCTCCTGGTCCTGCTGCGAGGCTCCTATCCCTCCCAGGAGCAACCCAGACCTTCCCGGGAGGTGGGGGGCAGTCAGGCCCTTTGCCCTCTGACTGGTCCCTGCCCATTTCACACACACATGGGTGTTCATGATGATACCTTGACCACAGTGTGAGTACCCTGGGACCTGAGACCCACCAGCCGCATCCTTTCATCTATATGCTGTCCACCGCAGGTGAATTTGAATCAAACTCTAGTTGTGTTTCCTGAACACAAGAGAAAAGAAAGCACATCAAAGGCCAATGTGGGGTCTCCCCTGACTATTCACAGAATTGCTGACAGGGACTCCACTCTAAATGTATTACATCATACAGCATTTCAAATAATGTGGTGTCATTTCTCCCTTTATCCAACAAGACAGCTCTCACTACCCCCCAGACGAGTCTGTCCTCTTAGCAGGACTCAAGTGTCTCTACCTAGGAGTCACTGTTTCACACCGATGTCAGCATCTTCCTCTTATCAGCATCTGATCCTGGCTGGACTGCAGATCAGGGTCTAAGGCCTCAGAGTGAACTCCAGGGAGAATCCTCCAGAAACTGCTCAGAATCTTTGTGGATTTAAGAACAATTTTCACATATTCTCTCACAATTTTACTTCTCCACATTCTGTGTCACTTAACTGCCAAACACAAAGGGCTCACAAGGCCAGAGTCTCAGCAGGTTCGTGTCTCACTGTCCACGAGTCACTCCTCCATGTGGCTGTTGTCCAAGAGGATTTCAGGAGGGACCAGCAGGGCTGTCAGCTGCTCTCAGAGAGGAGACATGAAAGTCCAAGGACAGAGGACCTGGCTCTGCTGCCAAACAGCTCCCACGGTCCCCTCACTCTGTTCTAGAACTTTCCTTGGACTCTGCTTTTTCCTTCTCTGATCACTGACCTTTCAGTCACATCACTACCTGGCAGAAATGCCCAGCTCACGGCCTGAGGCTGACCTGACCACCAGGCTGGCCCCTGGTCCCAGTGTCATTTCTGCTCAAACCCCCATGTCTAGACCCTGCTGCCTCCACTCTCGGGGTCTCAGGGCTGTGGGTGGCACCTCCTTACCCAGCTCTAGGAATCCCTGGGAGAGAGGCCTCAGTGAAAACACATCTCAACCCAGCAGTGCAGGCCTGTGTGGCTGGAGGGACCCAGCACCCCTGCCCCAGGTGAGCACAGCAGGTCCAGGCGTCACTGCTCAGTGACGACCAGCAGGAGCTGGGACTCTGACTCCCGACCTGGGTTCCGTGTTAAGCCTTGACACTGACCTGACACAGAGAAGGTCTGTCCTTGTCATCATGGAGCAGGCGGCCTCACGCTCTGAGCTCACACCCTCCTGCATTTGTCTGGAGACACACACCCGCCTTGTGCTTAATGACTCAGGCTGGCCCAGAGGTGAGAGATGCCAACTTTGGTGTAGGATGCCATTGCAGGATTCAGGGGTACCACCAGAAAATGTTCTCTCTGTTCCCTGCTCAGAGGAGTTACCCAAACCCAACATCACAAGCAACAACTCGGACCCTGTGGAGCACAAAGACACTGTGGTGTTAACATGTGGACCTGAGACTCCGGACACAACCTACCTGTGGTCCATCAACAGCCAGAGCCTCCCGGACAGTGATAGGATGCAGCTATCCAAGGACAACCGGACCCTCACGCTACTCCGTGTCACCAGGACTGACACGGGACCCTATGTGTGTGAGACCTGGAACCCAGTGAGTGCCCACCGCAGCGACCCATTCACCCTGAATGTTCTCTGTGAGTAACCCCTGTCCCGACGCGGCCGGGGCTGCCCCACACCCACACAGCCAGAGCCCAGGCCCCATCATTCCCCTCAGATCCACGTGCACGGCCCTCCCCTGGACACCCGGGCTGGTCATGACTGCCTGTCACAGGCAAAGCCAGGCAGCCCCAGCCCTGACCCAAGAGTAGGAGGGGGGCTGCTCCTGGGCTGGGAGACTCGGGGTCCACAAACTGATGGAGGAGCAGGGGAATGTCTCAGACTCAGGAGCCGACCTCGGGGGTTGTGGGACTTTTTGAAACAAGGTGAGATCCACTCAGAAGGACACTGAGACCCTTGTACAGCCTAGCAGGCCCCTCCCTCTGATGACATCATGTGTGGCTTTATTGTCTTTGCTCCAGATGGCCCGGACACCCCCACCATCTCCCCCTCAGAGTCCAATTACCACACAGGGCAAGTTCTCAACCTCACCTGCCATGCCGCCTCTCACCCACCCGCACACTATTCCTGGCTGATCAATGGGAGTCATCAGCAGTCCACACAGGTGCTCTTTATCTCCAACATCACTAAGAGTAATAGTGGATCCTACACCTGTCTTGCCTACAACAACGCCACTGGACTCAATAGTACCACAGTCAAGGTTATCAGCGTCTCTGGTAAGTGGCTCCCTGGACCGTCAGCACCAGACTCGAGGGTGGAGTCTGCTGGTTTCCAGAAACGAGCCTGGAACAAGCTACCCCAGGCCTGTTTCCATGAATAGACACAAATCCCAAATCCCAACTCTGTCCCTGAGCCTTCCTAGTACACTTGTGCAGACTCTGCCTCCTCTGCTTTCTTTCTTTCTTCTTCTTCTTTTTTTTTTTTTTTTTTTTTGTGTGTGTGTGTGTGTGTGTAGAACTGGAGTATAGGCCAAGGTGTGGGGAGGTAAAGGACAGAGTGGGGAGCAGAACAGGCAGACTGACTGAAATGCACTGCTGAGGGGAGCAGCAGGCGAGACAGGAGAGGTCTGCTGTGCCCTGTGTGGTTAGCTCCCTGGCCAGGAGTTCAAGCCATAGCGGTGACAGAGTTGAGACTTAACCCCTAGGCCACCAGGGAGGCCAACTCCCCGTGCTTTCTAAAGGTGGATGCTGATCCAGCCTGGAGTGAGGAAGGGGTTCTCTCCACCCCACAATGCACTGTGATAGAGCAGTCTTCACAGTGGGGAAGGAACAAGGACCTTCAAGGTCAAGCAGCTTCTTTTTTTGTAACTAACATGACCCTTCTGTCATCTTTTTATTTTCTCTTACCAAATTCATTTGCTATAAGAATCACACAAGCTCACTTCTTTTTCCCCAAAAGAGAGGCTGAAACCTCCTCTAAGAAAGTAAGGGCAGGGGCCTCCCCTGGTGGCGCAGGCGGTTGAGCACAGCGCTGTGAAGCTGTCCGCAGCCTCTGCAGTGCAGGTTCGATCCCAGCTGGCAGGTGAGGGTCCCACATGGTGAGCAGACCTCTCCTGTCTCGCCCACTGCTCCCCTCAGCAGTGTATTTCAGTCAGTCTGCCTGTTCTGTTCCCTGCTCTCTCTCTGGTGAATCCTCTCACCCTCCCACGGATCTGGCCTGTACCCCAGTTCTTGTATAAATAAATAAATGAATAAATAAATAAATAAATCTTTAAAAAGGAAAGGTAGGGCAGGACAGATCCCTGTTCTCTCTCTGCTCCTGGCTCCATTACAGACTGTGTTCTGCTACCATCTGTGAGGGACTAGGGCACAGAAGAAAGTGTATCAGCTGCCTTTCTTGAATCTGCAAAATTATGTGAACAATCAAAGTCAGAGTCTTTGTCAGGACAGACAGAAGTGAAATGAAGACTGAGCCCCCAGGCAGACTCCCCCAAGTTGCATCTGGCTCTGAAGTTACCAGCAGCTATATGACCCTGTGTGACACCAGCACATGTGATATACAGAAGGAGAACAGTAAATAATGATGTACACTTGGAAAAATAGGTAGCTATTCCCAAGAAGTACCTTTATGGGATAAAGGAACAGCACCAAAAATGCACAGTTTATAGAGAGGGCTGAGAATGCCAGTCTTTTCTAAAAACTATGATCACTTCTCTCTGGAGATTTCCTTCTTTGTAATATTCAAACCACAGGCCAGGAAATGAAAGTCCTACTCAAACTGAGGAAACCTTTGGATTGGAACTCTTCCAGGTCCTAAGATCACTAAAACTGCCTGGATCGTTCTCATTCTCTAATAATTTTTTAAAAGGAAATACCTTCCCTTCTCTACCATACTAGAAAGGGTTCTGATTTTATGTAGTCACAGAAAGCTCCAGGAAAAGGTCAAAGAAAAGTCAATGGAAGGGCCTCCCTGGTGGTGCAGGCGGTCGAGCGCTGCACTATGAAGCTGTCCGCAGCCTCTGCAGCACGGTTCCATCCTGGCCGGCCAGCGAGAATCCCAAGTGGTGCAGCAGACCTCTCCTGTCTTGCCCACTGCTCCCCTCAGCAATGTACTTCATCAGTCTGCCTGTTCTATTCCCCACTCTGTCTCTGGTGAATCCTCTCATCCTCCCACGCATCTGGCCTGTACCCCAGTTCTTGTATAAAAATAAATAAATCTTTAAAAAAAAAGATCAATGGGAGAGAAATGCCTCTGGATCATGAGGCTGCTGGACATGGTGCTAAGAAGAAGATCTTGTGCTCATACTACAAAGATGCGCAGGGGACTAGTCAGGGATCAACCTGGGGTCACCTGAAGCCAGAGGAGAGGTACAGCCCTGTTCATCACCTGAACAAAGATATTCAACCTTCTGTAGAGGTCGGGGTCATCCTGTGACCTTTATCAGCCTCCCTGTGGCCTGTGAGGGGCTGAGATCTGAGGAAGGAGAGTGGCCCTGGCCCCAGGCCCACTCTCTCACTCACTTCCACTGTTTCTGACAGTGTCATTGGCACAGCCCTTCATCCAAGCCAACAGCACCCACCTCACTGAACATAAGGACAGCGTGGCCCTGACCTGCATCACAAGAGACACTGGGATCTTCATCCTGTGGCTCTTCAATAACAACAGTCTGCAGCCCACAAACAGGAGGATGCTGTCTGAAGACAACCGCACCCTCACCATCAGCCCTATCATGAGTGAGGATATTGGGGAGTATCAGTGTGAGGTCTCCATCGGGGACATTGCTGTCAAAAGTAGCCCCTTCACTCTGACTGTGATATGTAAGTGACACTTTGCCCCATCTTTATATCTTCCTGGGAGGAAGGGTATGCAAAATGAGTAGAAATTAGTCGAGGCAGAATATCAATTGAGAGATATCATTAAGTTAACAGAATGGCAAAAGAATAAGAGCTTGGTCTCTGAATCAAATCAGTTTCTTATACTGACTATGGTGTTTACTGTACAACTTGCACGGTCCTTTTTTTTCTGTTCCAAAAATATAGGTAAGATTTGCTACTTCGCCCATTTTTAAGTACACAATGCAGAGGCTTTAAGTGCACTCATATGGTGATGCAATCATTACTACTATCCATTTCCAGGCCTTTTTGTCTTATTGGACTAAAATTCTGCACATTAACTCCAACTTCCCACCTCAACCCCTGTTCTACTTTCTAGCTCTATAAATGTGACTATTCTAGGCACCTGGTAGAAGTGAAATCATAGATTCTGTCCTTCTGTATCTGGCTTATTTCCCTTGAAGTAGTGTTCAAGGTTCATCCATCGGATGGCATGCATCAGAGTCACAACTTTTTAACGCTGAATAATATTCCCTTATATGTACATCTCACATTTTGTTTATTATTCACCTGTATGTGAACTTTTGGGTTGTTTCCACATTTTAACTGTTGGAACTAATGCTGCAGTGAACATGGGTGTGCAAATATTTGCTTAAGTCCCAGTTCTCAATCCTTTCTTTTAAAAAGATTTATTTATTTATTTATGTATACAAGAACTGGAGTACAGGCCAGAAGTGTGGAGGGTGAGAGGATTCACCAGAGACAGAGTGGGGAACAGAACAGGCAGATTGACTGAAGTACACTGCTGAGGGGAGGGGCAGGCGAGCCAGGAGAGGTCTGCTACACCATGTAGGTAGCTACCTGGCTGGGGATCGAAATTGTGCTGCAGTGGCTGTGAACAGCTTCATAGGTTTCGTCTTAACTCCTTGCGCCACCAGGGAGACCCCCAGTTCTCAATTCTTTGGGGTATATACCCTGAAGCAGAATTGCTGAATCAAAGGGTAATTCTTTGTTCTATTTTTTATGAATTGCCACAACATTTTCCACAATGGTTGCACATTTTACATTCCCACAAGCACAGAAATTGCACAGAAGTTCCAATTCTCTGCATCCTTACCAACACATGTTGTTTTTGTCTGTTTCTCTTATAATAATCATTCTAATAGGTGTGAGGTGGTATATCATTGTGGTTTTGATTTGAATTTCCCTAATGACTGGTGATGTTGAGCATATTTTCATGTGTCTATTGGCCACATGCATATCTTCTTTGGAGAAATTTGTACAAGGTCTTAATTGGGTTTATGTTGTTATTGGGTTGTATTCTTTTAAATAGTCTGGATATTAATCCCTTATCAAACATGATTTGCAAATATTTTCCCCTACTCTGTGTATTGTCTTTTCACTTTGTTGATAGTTGTCCTGTGATGCACAAAAGTTTTTAATTTTGATGAAGTCCATTTACCTTTTTGTTGTTATTGTTGCCTATGTTTTGGTTTTCATGTCCAAGAAATCATTGCCAAGTTTGAAGTCATGAAATTTTCACCCCATGTTTTCTTCTAAGAGTTTTATAATTTTAGCCCTTAAATCTAGGTATTTGATCCATTTTTGAGCTAATTTTTGAATATGTGTTAGGTAAGGGTTCAACGCCATTCCTTTGCAAGATATTCATTTTTCCCAGCACCGTTTGTTGGAGAGAAAATGTCTTCCCCAATTAATGGTCTTGGCACCCCCGTCCACAATCACTCTGACAATATATGCTGGGGTTTATCTTGGGATCTCTACTCTGTCCACTGTTTCTATATGACTGGCTTTATGCTAGCACCACACTGTTTTGGTTACTGTAGCTCTGTGGTAAAATTTTGAAGTCAGAAGTGTGAGTCCTCTGACTTGTTCTTGTCTTCAGGTTTGTTTTAGATGTTTGGGATCTCTTGAAATTTTGTATAAATTTCAGGATGGGGAATGGAAAAATTTTTAGATTGGCATTTTCTATTTTTGCAAAAAAAAATTGTCATTGGTATTTTGATAGGGATTGCATAGGAGCTGTAGGTCATTTTGGGTAGTAGCGCCATCTTAGCAATATTTACTCTTCTAATTCATGAAAACAGAATGTCTTTCCATTTACTTAGGTCTTTAATTTCAGTAATGTTTTATAGTTTTACAATGTATGAGTCTTTCACTACTTTGATTAAGTTAATTCCTAAGTTTTTTATTCTTTTTAATGCTGTTGTAAATAGAATTATTTTCTTAATTTCTTTTTCAAACTGTTCATTGCTAGCATATAGAAATACCACTGATTTCTTGCATGTTGATTTAATATCCTGCAGCTATGCTAAATTTGGTTATTGGTTCTAAACAGGTTTTTTTTGTGTGTAGACTCTTCAACATTTTCTACATGTAAGTTTATGTTATCTACAAACTAGTAACATTTTACTTTCTTCCTATTTGGATGCCTTTTATTTCTTGCCTAATTTCATTGGCTATTACTTCCAATACCACTTTGAATAGAATTGGCAAAAGAAGGCACACTTGCCTTGTTCCCAGTCTTAGAGGGAAAACTTTCATTCTTTCACCACTGAGGATGATAGCTATATATTTTCACGTATGTCCTTTATGATGTTGAGGTAGTTTCCCTCTATTCCTGGTTTTTAGTATTTTTATCATGAAAGCATGCTGAATTTGGTTTAATGCTGTCACTGAGTCAATCTCCTTACTTGTTATATGTCTATTCATTTATTTCTAATTCCTCATGATTAACCGTAGTAGGTTTTGTGTTTTAGAAATTTGTCCATTTCATCTAGGTCATCAAATGTGTTGGTACACAATTACTCATAATATTCTTATAATTCTTACTAAATTTTTATAAGCTTAATAACAATTTCCCCATTAATTTCTTTTTTTTTAAGATTTATTTATTTATTTATTTATTTATTTATTTATACAAGCACTGGGTACAGTCAGAAGCGCAGGAGGGCGAGATAATTCACCAGAGCCAGAGCAGGGAGCAGAACAGGCAGAAGGACCGAAGTACACTGCTGAGGGGAGCAGTGGGCGGCAGGAGAGGTCTGCGCGCAATGTAGGATCCTCGCCCGGCAGCCAGGGATTGAACCGTCACTACAGAGGCTGCGGGCAGCTTCGCAACCCAGCGCTCAAAAGCTGCGTCACCGGGGAGGCCCTCCCCATTAATTTCTTATTTTAATAATCTGAATTTTTTTTAAGTCAATCCAATTGAAGGTTTGACAATTTCATTCATCTTTTATGGAGAACAAACTTTTAGTTTTATTGATTTTCTCCAGTCTCTATTTGTTTATTTTCATTCTAACCTTCATTATTTCATTCCTCCTAGCAACTTTGGATTTAGTTTGTTCTCTTTTTAGTCTCAAGTTGTAACGTTACATTGTTGATTTGAGATCTCTTTTTTAATGTATTTCTATTACAGATTTTGTGCATAAGATTTCTTAACTTCTCTGAGCCTCATATTCCTCAACTGAAAATTAATAAGCTTCGTGGTATTGGTTTAGAGACTTAATGCAGTAATCAATTAAATCCTCAGCAAAATGCCATACACAGACGAAATAGTCCATAAATGTTATTTGTTATTATCACTACTACTATCATTAGCCTCTATGAAGTCAGACAGCCCTAGAGCTAAATCCCAGATCCACTTCTTAGTAGCCATATAACTTTGGGTAAATTTTTCATCACTCTAAGACTCATTTGTAAAATGGAAACAATATCTATCTAACAGGATTTTTATGTGAATCAAATGACATATGGGTAAAATATTTAGCAGAGTCTGGCACATAGTAAGTAACTCATAGTAACAGCTAGTATTAGTAATCAGTCTTTATTTGACTGGTAAGAGCAATAGAAATAAAAAAAGAAGAACCAGATGCCAAAGGTATTATATATTGGGGGTGGAAGAGAAGCATAACAAACCAAGCTACTGGGACATTGTTACTGATATGGGAGATCAGACCACAGTGCATCTATGATCCCTGTGAAGGAGAAAGAAAAGGAGGTTGTAGCTTGCAGTACAGTTTTAAAAGCCATCCATCAGGAGAAGTTTGAGCAAAAGCTCAAGATTTCTCACAGAATTTTGATTGCTTTCATTTCCCTACTTGAACCTGTATTCCTTAAGGAAAAAAGCAGAGGCGAGTTCACGGTCAAGGTGCCCCCACTGTAAAATAATGTCACCTCCATTCATTCTTCTTCCCTTATCTGTGATAAGTGTGGTTTCTTACACAGGAGGTGGTGGATTCAGGGTGCGCTAGCCTGGACCTTCTATCAGTTACGTCCCACCACACAAACCCGAGAGGCACACATTTGTGGCTACCACAGCCATTACACAGAAAAATTGCAACCATGAAAAGGTGGAAAGTTATAACATACCAAATAGCTATGCAACTTTCTCATATTTCCAAAGCCTTGAAAAACATATGCGTGCACAAAGGCCAGGGTGGACTGAGGCAAGCCTGATCACCAACCTAGAAATACAGTGAGAGAGAAAAGGGCTGCAAAGAACGTGAGCTGCTCGCCTAAAAGCAAACTTGCCTCACAGAAAAAGTAGAACAAGTAGAGACTACTCATCAGAGATGCTTCGCAAGGCACCACACTGTAAAATAATGTCACCTCCATTCATTCTTCTCTTTTCTTTCTATACCAGCTGCTGAGCCTGGGTCTCCTGGCCTTTCCCCTGGAGCTATCGCCGGCATCGTGATTGGAGTCCTGGCTGGAGTAGCTCTGATAGGAGGCCTGGGGTACTTTCTGTATCGCAAGAGGACTGGAGGGTAGGATGCCCTTTCTTACTCTGCTTTCCAAGGCTAATCGCCACGCTTGGAGAGGGACAGAAACTTTCCCTCTGTCCCTGGTCCTGAATCTGCTCCTCTTCATTCCTAAACTTCTGCTGCTTTGCACTAATTCCTGGGAGTCTCTTCTACCCTGCTCTTTATGCTTCCTGTACCCAGCAGTCTCCTGGACATGCTTATTCATATCCCCATCTGGTTTTGAGGGGCTGATACAATTGTATTCCTCAGACCCCCAATTAGGGAACCCAATTTCAAGAAGGAAACAAATAAGGAAATGAAAGAAGCAGGATAAAGTGAGTTGTGTGCTGTCAACCACAGTAGCAGGAGGAGGGAGGGACAGGATAGAAAGAGAACCTAGAAAAAGCAGAAACAAGCAAAGTCCTCTTAGGCAACAAATATAGTGAGGAAAAAAATAGCATGTACCTAAAAAGGGGAAATTAGGTAGAAGTAGATTCAGAGGCAGTGATAGAGGATGGACCTAAGGACGCAGGCACGGAGTGAATTAGATGGGATCACAGGCGGATGGAAGAAGGAGGCAGTAAGAAGAAAGGCAGTACCAACCATGGTCTAAACGAACACTGAGGAGTCCCAAGGAATTATCTGCTGACATTGTCTTCCCTAATTCAAGGGGCAAAGATCCTATGCTTGGGAACAGCAGTCACAGTGTTTGATATTTATTTAGGACAATCGACCATCGTGATCTCACAGAAAACAAACTCTCAGCCTCCAGTCACAGTAAGTAAAGCCACTCACCCTGAGAGCTGATGTGTTCTACCACATGCCCTTCCCTAGGAGGAAAACCTGGATTCCCAAATCACTCCCCACCTCTGGATTTTCAGAGGAGATCTCCATTGCCCAACCTTCAGTTGACTTAGGTCTTTGACACCCTTCTAGCCACAGAAGATTCCCCTGGGACACAGCCCCAGAGAGATGCTCCCTCCACCTAGCCCAGGCAGGCCATTTCTTCATCCTCACTCCTCCCCTCTCTTGCCTCTAATACGGATGTGGGCACTCTCCTTTGGTGAGACTTCCCCTGCATTGTGGTGCTCTGGGTGCTGTGGGCTTCAATGTGCCTTCTCACCACTGGAGGCTGTTGCTGAGAAACACATCTGGACAAAAAGCAAGGCCTTGTGAACTGGGAGAAATCAGAAGTGCACTGAGGTCTCTGTGGCTCTGTTCCTGTCCTGCTCTGATACTAACATCCAGGTCTAGACAAGACTCTGAGGGGGCATCACCCCATTTTACCCTCCTCCCACCAACTGCCACCTCCTTCAGCTAGAAATCTCAGCCTTAGAACACTGCTTGTTCTAAGGCTGTCTGTCTTCATGGATTGGTAACTCCACTTTTGCCTCCCCAGGTCAGGATCATTCTGACAACTTAACTAACAAGGTAAGCACAACCAGTTTCACTGGCTTTGTTTCCTTGTGGAAATACCTCTGTGAAGAATGGGTTATTCTGCAAGTACAAAATTTCAGATTGAGTTTGGGTTAAAGTTCCTCAATGCAGCAACAAAGAAGTATTAGCTAATTATGCCCACAATTCTCCCTCAGCAAGAATGTGATGTGCTGTCCCCATCCCGTGACTCAATACTGGCTGTGACTTAGTAGTTCTGCAACCTGGTCAATTTAACATTTTTGATGCTCAACATTGTCATCTCTAAAATGGGCATCCTGACTATTTTAAAGAGAAGTTGAAGGAATTACAGGCAGTAACAAATATAAAGCCCAGCACCATGTCCATGCTAAGAGGCAGTGTGACCATTTTCCCTCCTCGACCTTAAATCTGACCCTACTTTTGTCAAGGATAATTTCCATTTGGTAGTATGTCATTGTTCCTTTACTTCATAATAGTTTTACAGATTTTTTTCTCCTCTTAATCTTTCTTTTATTATTTTTTAAAATTTATTTATTTATACAAGAACTGGGGCACAGGCCAGAGGTGCGGGAGGGTGAGAGGATTCACCAGAGACAGAGTGGGGAGCAGAACAGGCAGACTAACGAAATACACTGCTGAGGAGAGCAGCGAGCAAGACAGGAGAGGTCTGCTACGCCATGTGGTTTGCTCCCTGGCCAGCCGGGGGAAAATGAACTCGTGCTGCAGAGGCTGCGGACAGCTTCATAGGTTGCGCCTTAACCCCTTAAGCGACCAGGGAGGCCCTCATCTTAATCTTTCAATAGACTACACATATACTGAAAAGTGCTTAAATCATAAATACCTTGTAACAACATTTGAATTGTTCCCAAGTTGAACAGACCCATGTAAGAAGTAACCAAATCAAGAAATGAAACATGTCATCAGCACCCCCTCACTTCCCTCACTTCCCTCCAAAGACAAGCCATTACCCTGACTTCCAATGCATTAAGTTAGTTTTGCCTGTTTGTGCTCTCATGTAAATAAAAAATAAACTAGCATGTCCTTATATACATCTCTTTCTTTTTATATTTTTTCCTTTATTTTTTATATTAATTTTTTAATTTTTTACATTATTGTTCATTTTTTAACAATATTTGCTTCCCCCCACCCCCTCAGGTATAGTCCCCATAGTTTCCTTCACCAATGTACCCGTGCACCATCACCTCAGTCCCCTGTGTTCCTCCCTCTCTCCCTCTGATCTCTCTCCCTCCTCCTCCCCTGCAGTATGTCTCTGATTTATAATTGTCCATTTTTGCTTTGTTGTGTTTTGTACTGTTATTATTTTTTTACACTGATGTCTTATTGGGTTCCCCTACATTCCTGCTGTAAGTGAAACCATCCAATATTTTTCTTTTTCCTTCTGGCTTATTTCACTGAGCATAATTCCTTCTAGTTCCATCCACATTGCTGCGAATGGCATGAGTTTATCTTTTTTGATTGCTGAATAATATTCCATTGTGTATATACATCTCTTTCATTCAAAATTGTTTTGTGAGATTCGTCCACACTGTCTTTTGCATTTGCAGTTTGTTCATTCTCATTTCTGTATCATTGTATGTCACTGTATAAATCCCATAACCACCCTCTTCTAACCATCATTCAGAAGGATTCACAAGCAAAGATAATGGTAACAAACGCCCCTCTTCAAAACTGCAAGTTTCAAAGTGATGATAGATGTGGTGCTAAATACACTAGACCAGGTGAGGGCCCAACCTGGACACTGATTTAACTGACCTCTGCTCATGCCTTTCAGACGGATGAAGTTGCATATTCTTCTCTGACCTTCAATGCCCAGGGATCAAAGACACCAGTTTCATCCTGCCCATCCCCAGCAGCCACAGAAACGGTTTATTCAGAAGTAAAAAGGAAGTAATGCAATGGTCCTGCTCACAGCACTGCTGATTTGTTCCAAGTTTCTCACCTGGACTCCAGAGGAGATCCCTTTACCCTCAGGGAGAAGAAGAAGCCTCTTTCCTCCCTGCACCCTCCTCAGGTGGCCTCTCCAGGCTGCCTGGTCACAGACACTCCCTTCAGGGTCAACAGATGAAAGGGAACATCCTGGAGTCTGCAGGAAACCCAACCTCCTCCTCTCTGAAATTGGGCAAAACAAATTTAGGGAGACAGTTGTCAGAACCTCCTGCCCCTCCCCTCCCCAGATCCAGACTTGTTTTAATCGTACCTATCCAGAGCACACTCATTCATCCCCACCAGGGTCCTGTGCTCTCTGAGGGTAACCTGAATTTGCCATCATCTTGAGAGTTCTGACATCCATGTGCCTGAAAAGAAGAGATAAAAAAAGTAAAACTAAAAGCTCTGTCTCTCCAACACCCAGTATGAACCCACCCTCTACAGGAAAGCAAATATGTAACCAAATCTGAAGTGGAAAATTCTCCACCTTTGCCACTGTCAGTGTTGTCTGCCCATAGGAACAGGCGTCTGGGAATCTTGCTGCTTAGCTAAAATACCGACTAGAAACAACTGGGAAAACTATTTGCCAAGGTACACAGGCGATTCCACATGAGAAAAGCACATGTGTTTTGGCAACTTTACGGGCTTTACTCAGAGATATGCCCACAAAGGGAGGGGTTACAACTTTAGGGGGCAGTGGCTCTTTCAATAGAGACAATTGCTGGGAATTTGAGAAAGGAATTTGAGCACTATCCTTCACAAATCATTTAAGTGATTGTTAAACAATGCATATTTTAGGGGGTTTCCTGAGACATTCTGCCATTTTAATGTTACCAACTGCTTATTTATGTAAAACGGGTTGTTTTTACTTAGCTGTTTCAGCAGACTACCTTAAGTGAAAGAAGCCACTCAAACTCCACAGGTCCCCTTGGCCAGAAACTCCTCAAAGCTCTTTTATCAGGGACTACAAATAAAAAAGAAGCAGCAGCTTTCCTCACTCATGGTTAGAAATAGGTCTAGCTCAGCTTCCGAGCACCTCAGCCCCATCATCAACCACCATTCTGTTCCTCACTTCTGCCCATGTGTGTTCTCTCTGCCCTCCTACCTACTTTCTCAGGAGACTTGGCCTCTGCTAAGGTGTATTTGAAGTGGGAACAGAAGAGTGTCACTCAGGCTACTAGCATGTGGAACCTAGAAAGCTGCACTGGAACTGATGTTCCTTAGGACACTAGGGCGAAGAGAAGGTGCCAGAACACAAGGGGAGAATTTTAACTGGTCAGAGGCTTCCTGGACAGCCTCTGTAATATGCTTTCTCCCATGGGGTCGATGAGTCCAATGTAGCAGAATACAAAGGGAGGGCAAGAGGAGAGGCAAATGACTTTCCCGCCCAGCCTCCTCCTCCTTACACACAGATGGACTCTCCTTGGGGCTGGCGAGAAAGATTCTGTTCTGTATTACTTGATCTCATGTTGTGCCTAACCCTCCCAGAAAGAGAGTTAATCATGAGCTCTCTGTACTCAGGTGCCTCCCCCAGGGTTTTCTAACCCTGACCCAGACTGTCTATACTTCTCTCATCCATGTGATTTGGTGTTATTTAACTTTGCCTGACTCAGGCCATTCCTGGTCTAGATGTAAGATTTATGGCATATTTATAATAAAAATGGTGTATCATGCATCGACACGCTGCCTCACAGTTGCTACTACTTAAGACAATGACTTCTTTACTGGGAATCAGGGTCAGTCTATTTCTAAGTCTGCAGATACTTGATCTAGAAATCTGGGACTTGGCTAAATTCATTGCATATCTGCTAACAAAGTGACTGTTTAGAAGCAATGGCCATAGCTCCAACCTGCCTCAGAAATCTGCGATTTCCCTCTTGGGAAGAAGATGATGTTGAAACTGTGCTCATGATCATTTTCCATTCTGCTTATCTTGTAACAACAGAAGAGTGGGCTTGCAACCATGGGACAAAAATACCCCTACCTATTTGAAACAAAGGGAGAAAGGGGGTTTTCATAAGTTAATAAGTGGTGTTTCAGAGCCAGGCCCAGAAGAGTGTTTGCTGTCCTTGAGGTGACCTCCCACTACCCAGACTGAATACAGCCATAGAAGAGGGACTTCAGGTAGATGGACATTCAGAAGCTAGAAGCATGCAGTTTTGCTGTAGTTCTGAATCCAAATTTGAGTTACACCACATTAGCAGGAAGTAGCCAGTCAGACTCTACCAACTTGCATTTTCTATATTTGTTCCTCAACCCCATAATACCGCCCAAAGCCCCATCCTCGGGGAGACTGACTTGAGAGCCTTGCCCCTCGTCTGTCTCCTGCCATGTGACCTTGCATTAAACCTTCCCCAAAGCTGGTGGCATGGCTTTTGGCTTCTATGCCATCAGGTAGCAGGCCCAGTACAGACAACAATTTCACGAGTAAAAGATGCTCCAGTATCTGTATTAAGCATAGATCACATTCCCACACACCAGTCCATTAGGTCCAGTCCTACAGGTCCAGTCCTACAGAAATTTCTCTAGCACCTTCTCTCTTTCTTGTCTCCAGTTCCTTTATTCTGAATTCAGACATCATTAATTACTAATGCCTATTCTTGGACTTCATGTGAATGATATCATAGTATATGTTCCCTTGTGCCTGGCTTCTTTTGCATAAATAATGCTTTGGAGATTAATCCATAGTGTTTTAGCAGCAATTTGTGCCTTTTTAATTGCTGATTAGTAGTCCACTGTTTGGTTTTACTACAGTCCGTTTAACCATTCACAAGTTGATGGATATTTTCCACTTTATAGTTATTATGAACAATACTGCTATCAACATTCAACACTGGCGTAGAGATCTACTTTCATTTCTCTGGGAGCTTTTCAAAATACACAAGACTATGTCTTCAGACATACTGTGTCACCTTCTTCAGGGATGATCTATAGATGTCCATAGCTTGAAAAAGTCTCATAGATAATTCCTGATTTATACTCTTAGGTAAGAACCACTGCTTTTTTTTTTTTTTTTTTTTGGCCTCATCAATATTGCCATTTATTTATTTTTTTAATATTTTATTTTATATAATTCTTACATCATTTTTCAACTTTGTACAATGTATGCATTTTCATTTTGGTTATATTCCCCATACAGTTGCACCCCCCCTTATTTTGACTCTAGTTCTTCCTTTCCCCTCCCCTCTCTTTTCCCCCTCACCCCGTAGTGTGTCTCTGGTTTATAGTTGCTTGTTGATTTTGATTATTACTTTGCATTGATTAGTCTTTTTCCTGGTCCCTTATTTAGGTTTTCTAAATTCCTGCTATGAGTGAGACCATCCAGTATTTTTCTTTTTCTTTCTGACATTTTGCTGAGCATGATCCCTTCTAGCTCCATCCATGTTGCTGCAAACTGCATGTGTTTATCTTTTTTGATTGCTGAGTAATATTCCATGGTGTATATGTACCACATCTTCTTGATCGAGTCATCTATTTTTGGGCATTTGGGTTGTTTCCATAGCTTAGCTATTGTAAACAGTGCTGCTATAAACATAGGCGTGCAGGTGCCCTTTGGAATTACTGTTTCTGTGTCATTTGGGTAAATACCTAGGAGTGGAATTTCTGGATCATATGGAAGCTCTGTTTAGAAGGTCAAGAAATCTCCACACAGCTCTCCATAGAAGAACCACTGCTTTTAAACTCAAGTGCTAACTATTATAGTGGGCGCTGTCCATCCCCGCTGTACATTAAAAGCATCTGAAAAGCTTTACAAAATTAATACCTGTGTTCCACTTTATACGAATTAAATCATAATCTGTGGGTGGGGCCTGAGTACCAGTATCTAAAATTCCCTTTCTTTCTAATGTGCAGCCACATTTCCCACTGGATTTCTGTCTTCGCTTGTGGCATTTATTCTTTTCTATCTTAATTATTTTCGTTTCTTTTCTCCTGTCTTAGGTCACCAGGATTGGGAACGCTCTGTTTTTCTCCTTGCTGAGTCTCTCAGGGGTCTAACACTGAGACTTAAAGCACAATAGGCTCTCAGTCAGGATTTCATTAATACAGGAACTTGTCACCACGAAAAGACTCTCAACCACAGGTGACTGATTCTCAGGTTCACATATTACTTCTACAAGGGCCTCATCCTCCCTGGGGCTGGGGGTGTTGCTTGTGATGTCCAATGTGGGTATCCAGTGTGGGTAACCCTTCTGTGAGATAACAAAGGGAACATTGCCTGTCTAGGATTTGTTTTCAGTCATGTTATTAGGACTAAAAATAACACAAGGAAGCTATTTGAGCAAATGGAAATGCTCTACATCTCATTTCGGGTAATAATTACAAGAATGTACATACATTTACCAAAAATCAAACTATATACTTAAGACCGACATGCATTTCAAAGTAAGTTATCCCAATTCTTAAAAATAAAATAAACAAAGTAACAGTTAATTCAATCTCTCAGGTATAAAGCACCTGTATTCATTTTCTATTTTTACAATATAAATTACTATTACAATATAATTACAATATTATCACAATATAAATTATTGTAATTATTATTACAATTATTATTATTACAATATAAATTATTTTTACAATACTAAATTATTATTTAGTAGCTTAAAACAATACCCATTTATTAGCTCACAGAATTCAGTTTACTGAAATTATAAGACTGAGTTTCCTTTTGTCCTGCTAGGAATCTCTCTCCATTATTAGCAACTGTTCCCAGTTCCTATGCAAGACCTCTCTCCAATGGAAACCATTGGAGCAATGGAAACCTCTTCTCAGCAATGGAAACCATTTTTTTTTTTAATAGAGGCATGCTTTATTTATTTATTTGTTTGTTTGCTTGCTTGTTTTATACATGCACTGGGTACAGTCAGAAGCATGGGAGGGCGAGAGAATTCACCAGAGCCAGAGCAGGGAGCAGAGCAGGCAGAAGGACCGAAGTACACTACTGAGGGGAGCAGCGGGCGGCAGGAGAGGTCCGCGCACCATGTGAGACCCTCCTCCGGTGGCCGGGGAGCAGCCGGGGATCGAACCGGCTCCTCGGGCGCGGGCAGCTTTGCAACCCAGCGCTCAACCGCTGCGCCACCGGGGAGGCCCTTCTTTTTTTTTTTTAAGAGGTATTTATTTATTTATACAAGCACTGGGTACAGTCAGAAGCGCGGGAGGGTGAGAGAATTCACCAGAGCCAGAGCAGGGAGCAGAACAGGCAGACTGACGAAGTACACTGCTGAGGGTAGCAACAGGCACAGAAGAAGAGGTCTGCGTACCATGTGGGACCCTCGCCAGCGGCTGGGGATCAAACCGGCGCTGCAGAGGCTGCGGGCAGCCCCATAGCTCAGTGCTCAACCACTGCGCCACCGGGGAGGCCCTGGAAACCATTTCTTATTTTAAATCCCCTTGTTTCTAATTTCTCTGATCTCCCCCTCTGACACCAGCTGGAAAAAAAAATACTGCTTATAAAGGCCTATGTGATTAGATTAAGTCCACTCAGATAATCTTTTTATTAAACTAAACATCAATTGATCAGTAACCCTAATTACATCTGTGTAATCCCTTCTGCTATACAAGATCACACATCACAGTCATGATATCTCATCATAGTCACAGTCCAGGAATTAGGGGTAAACCTTGGAGTAGCATCTTAGAATTCTGTCTGCCACAGCACCAGCTGAAAGTTGTCCGTGCTCTCAAGGAGTTCCTTTAGGGGTCCTGTTCTGAAGCAATAATATAAAGCTCAAATATCGTCAGTCCAAAGTCAAACTGAGTTAAAAGGAAACTAACAACAATAAACATGGGCAAGAAAGCAGGGTTCCACTCCCTTTTAGCCTGTAAATGTCTGAGTCACATACATACTCACAGTCCTCAAAACTTCAGTAATATTCACAGTACTGACAGTGACTCACATCTAAGTTAACCCCTAAGTTATTAGAAACCAAAAGTCATCCCAAGAAATAAACCAAAATTCAATTCAACCAACAACATTATATAGATTTTTGATGATTCATGCATTCAACAAGCATTTATTGAGGACTTATTATGTATCAAGTGCTAAACTACGTACTGAAAAGAATATGAAGATAAAAAATAAAGGGTTTATTAGAATCTTTATTGCAAAAACTCTACTGTCAAAAAAAGGGGGGGAGACAAAGAAATAAAGAAAAGAAGGGAAGGGAAGGCAAGGGGAAGGGGAAATTCATGGGATACCTGCAGAACTGTGAACATGAATATTTTATGATATTGGGGAAGATTCATTTTTAGTGTAATAATGGTACTATAGTTATGCTTTTAAAGAGCCCTTATATTTTAGTAATACAACTGAAATACATACAGATGAAATGATTTTAGAGCTGGATTTGCTTCAAAATAATCCAGGTTTGAGGAGGGAGTACAAATGAAACAAGACTGGCTGTAACGGTGATAATTGCTGAAACTGTGATGAGTACCTGTGTATTCACTATTTTATTAGCTTTATTTTGGCAATTATTTGAAATTTCTCAAAAAGAAGTCTTTGCTCTCCAGAAACTTCTAACACAAGGAGTGAGAGATTCCCCAAAATAGACTACTATGCAGTTAAAATATACACAGAGTGCTAGTCAAGCTCCCTGGTAAGTGAATGCCCCAGGATAAGGAGAAACATCAGAGAAGAGTCTCCCAAAATAAACCCACATTTATATTAACAGTTAGTCAACAAC